GTTATGGTGGTCGCTTGTGTGATGAAACATTATCAAGTCAAAAAAGAAAATATTTGAAATTAATTCAAGAATTTTATTTTGTTCTTTGATTTATAGAATGTTCTGATCCAGCTATACGCTGTTTAAATGCTGAATGCATTGAAACAAATGATCCTGATATACCTGTTTATTGTCAATGTTATGATGGTACACGACGAGATCCAAGACAGAATAATTCATGTCCATTAAGTTCGTAATTTTCTCTAAAATAATTTTCTTTTTCTAAAATTTTTATCTTGCTAAGGTCCATGTTATGAGAAAGATACAGAAGACCCAGTTTGTAAAAATAATGCTACATGCCGAATTGTTAATAATGGATACTTCTGTGAATGTGCAGGAGGTTTTGCGGGTCAAAATTGTACAAGACCTCTTAGAAGTAAATTTATTTTGATTATATTCGTTTTTTTCTTCTTAAAAATTAATCATGAATATATTTTCAGGACCACTTTGTCAAGAACTACCAGGTGTTTGTGGTGAAGGAAAATGTCAACAATCACTTACACCACCATTTTATTCATGTAATTGTGGTACTCATCCAAGTACATTTGGTAGAAATATTTCTGATTTAACTAAATGTGAAGAAAGTAAGACTATTTTTGCGATAGAAAAGTTTCTTTTTTAACGAATAGATTTATTATATAGGTGGTTGCCACGCAATAAATCCATGTCAAAACGGCGGAACATGCAGTAATAAAGGTGCAGGTGCTTTTATTTGTCAATGTTCTTCTCTTTTTACTGGTATTAAATGTGAAAAATTTTGTAAGTTAATATTTTGAAAAGTATACTTTGTTTTCTTCATTAATTTGTTTTCAAGCTGCTTGCCATAATAACCCATGTGTAAATAATGGTACTTGTGAAGCATTCAATGAAACTGTCTACTATTGCAAATGTCCACCATATTTTACTGGTCAAAGATGTGAAACTCCCGTACCTGGTAGGAAATTTTTCATTAGGTTCTTTTTCTCTTTTTTTGTTGCATGAGATTTGTTTTAGATCCATGCCTAGGAAAATCTTGTGGTTCTTTTGGTGAATGTCGTGATATTCGAGGTACTGCAATATGTTTCTGTAATGATGGATTACATCTTGATGGTTCACCTTGTCAAGGTAAGAATTTAAGTTACTTTTCAAATATACTAACTATTTTCTTTTTAATTTTTCTTTAGATCCATGTCGTAATAAAAGTTGTGGTGTAGGCGTTTGTACAAAAAATCCCGACACAACTTATGAAGCTATATGTTCATGTCCACCAGATCGTACAGGAGAATCATGTGAAAAACCACGAGGTATATTTACTAATCCTATGGAAAATATGTTAGAATTAATAATTTTTGTGAAACATGATTTCGAAGAAATGTTAAAGTATCTGGATAAAAATTTAGAACTCTCACATATCGTAACAGAAGTTAGCAAACATGATAACAGACCATGATAAACGTTGTTGATATACGATCAAAGATCATATATCAATAAATTCTCGTTCTAATATATGAACTACTTCTTTATTGCATTTCTGGAGAAGGATGGTGAAGAAATAAGTACCAAAATAGATAGAATAGAACAATATTCTAGCTTCATATTTTCATTTCACAAGGTTTGTGTCAACAACTTCTTTTTAATTTAGATTTATGTCGAGAAGCTCCTCGTTGTGGTGGTGGATATTGTAGACCAGATTATCAAGCTGCTCGTGGTTATGTATGTGTATGTGCCGGAGGTTCTGTTAGAAACGATCCGTGTCCATTTTCAACAAGTAAACTATTTCGTTTTTATTATATAAATTTTATTAGATTTGTATATTTAATTATAGCTTGTCCAATCAAAGATTGTGGAACACAAGGTATTTGCGTAGAAACTGATGGTATTGTAACAGTTCCTGGTGGCAGACCAATATTTTATGTTTGTCAATGTAAGCTGGGATATATTACTTCCAGCGATTGTGATGGTAATATTTAATATGAGAAGAAAAAACTTCGATATAAACATAGTTTTTTAATTAGGATTAATCAATACACAAATTACATCTGCTGCATCTAGATGTGGACCTAATGGCAGACCATATCCAAGCCGTAATCCAAATAATCCCATCGGATGTTGGTGTAATAATGGTACACATATTGAAGAAATTAATGCAAGTGGTCCATCATCATATTTTCCTTAAGTTGAGACTTTTATAGATAAAAAAAAGTCAAGAAAATTTTAATTGCTTTTTCAGAAAAATAATTTACATTGACAAATAAATTTTGATGCAAGCATACATGTATATGTTTACTGATTTATGTGAATCAGGGCTGGATATATCTGAGTCATGACTTAGACTCGAAAGTTAGGTGACATTGACTCGAGTCATTCATTCAAAAAAGCAAAAGTTGATAATTCAACATCGAAATCATTTTCAGAAGAAATTCGTGAGTTTTTGCAGGAAGAAAAATCAAGTGTCTTCCTTCTACATAAGCATCAATTGAACGTTTTTGTTTTCAAAGCAGTATTTTAATGAGATCCCAACGTTCTAATTTTTTTTCACTAGCTAATAATAGCATTCAAACATCTTTGAAATGTGAATAATTATTTTTTTGTTTGTAAACAATCTTGAGTTTAGATTTTCTTTTTTAAATAAAAGCTGGTACTTCGTTACTATTTTATGAAACTGTATGAAAAAGAACAGTTAATTTCAGTACTCTTATACTTTATTAATAAAGGCTGTAGTGGCTGTGCCAGTTTTTAGTTATTTAGTACTATTCTTATTTTGTTTTTGTGCATAATAATTAGGAACAAGATATAGGGTTATAAAAAAACTTGTCGTCAACGTTCTCTATAAAAATAAACTGAAAATGAAAAAAAGACAAAAATAACTTGATTCACTCAACCTTGGAATGAATTAATATGTTTTCTTTTATTAAAAATTAAAGATTTGTTGAAGAGATTCGAATAAGATTATTTCAGTATATAGGCCACAATCCTCACGCTCGAAAATCGACCTTTGGTCTGGTGATACATTCAAATCACATGGAATTTTCAGGATATAGGTGCCAAATAAAAAACCGTATCGTTTATGAAAGATCAGACTTCAGGTTATCATCTTAATTTATGTTTCTTAAATGCACATCGACTTTTTTAGTGGAATTTGAAACCGAAATGAATGCCACTATTTTTTTCTGGTAGAAAATGCACAAGTTCAATGGATATTGAAATATAAAATTTCTTTTTATCCATCTATTTTGTTTTGATAAAATCTCTTTTTTTTAAAAACTAATTGAAATAAATAGATATCACAGATGACTGATAATTTTGTATATTTTTTTTACAGTACCTGAAATAACAAAAAAAAACTGTTAGCATCATCCCTGAAGGATTAAAATGTGAAACACGATGCTTCTTATCATAGCGAGATTGTCTTTTTCTATCTATTTTGAGACACATTTTTTCACCATCGTTTTACTTAGTCTTCTAGAAATGCAATAAGGAAGTAGTTCAAGTATTATAATGAAACGTTATTGATACACAATGTATGATTACTCGTTGCTAAGATGTCTGTCACGTCTTTGACGAACGGTCGAAACTTCTATCTCTATACTTCAGCACTTCTTCTAGATCGTGTTTTACAAAAGGCACCTTGTCTTAAGTTGGTTTCTGTTAATAATCTATTCCTCGTACAATGGTTTGGTTACTCATTTCTCCTTAAACAAATTATTATTATTATTTGACTACCGTAGTTGGGTGTTGAGGCGTCATTTTCTCGTTTTACGTCTGGAAACGAGGAACATATAGAGTTACAAAGAAAATAATAAGCAAAAATGTATAAACATTTTGGTGCATTTAAAAACTTCTAAAAATGTCAGTATGAGATGCATTCTCGTTCCTTTAAAACATTAACGTTGACACTTCAACTTAGATATTTTTTAGAGAATAATATAGACTATAACGGCATAATATGACTAATAGGTCATGGAACTCGATTTATGAAGACATTGAAAGAAGATATGTATGCAACAAAGTGTGGTATAAACTTGTGAAATTTATACATTCCACATAAATGACGACCGATTAATACAGAAAAGTAATGTCTTTGATGTCTATCAAACACTCAAATCAACATGCTCAGAAGTGCTACTTCCAATATTTATGTTTAACAAAAGTTCCTCAATGTTATCGTTTTATGGATTCTGTTGACTTCTCCGTCACTCTTTGCATTCTTAATATAATCTATAGATTCCTTTAGCAAAGGATCATTTGTTGATAAACTGTTTCAGTATTTATGAGTAGGTATACTTCTTTTTCGAATTATCTCAATTGATTGTCGTCATGCTTAACACTATCACTAGTGAGTATTCAGTTTCTAAATCAATCTTCATTTCTTTTCTAACTACGCGAATAAGAACAATTAATTAAATCGTTATTGACAAGTAATAACTGCTATGTATAAGTAAATATCCAAGCAAGAAAAATATAAGAAATATGCCACAGTTATCTAAAACATCAAGATAAGACAAATGTCTTGGATGCATAAAATGAGTCATCACTTCTGTTTATTAATAACTGTCGTTTTTTTTTTGAAATAGTGTTAATTGTGTAAAGGATGGTAGTCTCAATTTGTCTATAGTCATAATACACAATTAATATATTTTATTGGATACGAAAAATATGAAAACTAAAAAAAATCAAAATTTCAACCTGAATTTGAAACCAAAGAACTATATTAAATATTTAACACTTTTAATTAGTCTCTTCAGATTTACTCTTGAGAAACACGCTTGCAGAAAAGTTTATGTAAAGAGAAAAAAAGGACTGCTGTCATATGTACTTATTCTAGTTTTTTAGCAACAATAGACATAAATTATTGATCCGTTAATAGTGTATCGAATAATATCAGTATGAAGGATATAAAAAAAAACACTAAGAAAGATTTACAATGCAAATTTTTCTATTAATCATAGTTGTCTTAATTCAGGATTTTGAAAGGACTCAAAGAGAAATTTATGATTATTAATAAATATAATTATCATGCAACGCATTTCTAAGAAACAAAAATTAAAACATCAGAAAAGAAGAAATAACAATAATTGTTCTTTTTATTTTAAAATTTCTCTTCGATCAATTATCTATTTATTTGACCAGCGTTGTTGAATCCATTTATCAATTTTATTATTAAATACTCTTTCTTTAAGACCTTTATTAAAATTTCTTGTACAACAAAATCCAAGTACCATTGATAGTATATGTGCAAGCAGATTAAATGATACACATGCATAAAGTACCTGAAGTATAGGTACCAAATTAATCATTGTTGCTGGTGACGTTGTTGTTGTTGTTGATGTCGTTGATCTTCGAGATATTTCTATTGAATGTTCAATTGCCTAATATTATTATTATTTCAATACAAAAATTAAAATAAAAAACTAAACAAAACATACGGTATAAAGACTATAACCTAAGAAACCCAATTGAAAAAGTGAAAGTAAATAAAAAATGCAAACTAATATATAATTCTCTAGACGAGCCTAAATAAAACAAAAGTAATAAAATATGTTTTTGTGATAATTAAATATTTCTTTATATCTTACCATACCAATACCCATACCTAACCATAATAATGTTAAAGGAATACCAATAATAAGTAAAACTCGATCTACTGTTTCATAACCAGTAAAATTATATAAATTAAGTAATAAAGATGAGATCTTATGAAATAAAACTAAGTGTAAATTTAATTAGGAACATTAAATAAATTATTTACCGAAAGCATTGTACTGACACGTGCTACACAATCAAATATGCTATATATTTTAAGTGGAAGACGTGCTGTTGGAAAAGCACCAAAAAGTCTATCAAGAAAAAAGAAAACATATCAATTGAACATTTTCTCAATTCACAAAAACAAGTGTACCGTTTTGAAAATTCATCTCGTTGATAATCTTTAATAACTATAATAGCAAGCGGAATAAAACATACGTTAAAAACAATTGTAAATATAAGTCGAACCTGAAAAAAATAAAACAATTCAATAGAACAAAGATTCTTTCAAAAAAAAAATGAATTTTTATTTACTAGACGAATTTTTCCTTGATTAGTGTTACTGTCATTGGGTCCATTTCTCCGAGCGAAATAATGTGCAATAACATAAACAGTTAACATAACAGCACTGACAAAAAAAGCAACAATATCGGTAATACGTTGATAAAAAATGCCAGTTATTAGAAACAAAAGAAGAAATACTAATGAAAAAAAAAGAAACAAATTTTATTATAATTTTTTATTTTCTTAAATCGAAGTCCTACTTGAATGAACAAGAATAAGAATACCATAAGCAAAATCTGGATCATCTAAAGAACCCAAACTGATAAGACGAGCAATCGTTAAGCCATCCGTAATAAGTGCAGCTAATATACCAAGTATAAGAAATGTATATTCATACCAACGAATATTTCCTAGTCCACGACGCTTTAAATAATACAAAATAATTCTAAGATATAAATTAAAATAAAAAGTATCCTACAGTTCCAAGAAATCCACTTTCATTAATAGCATTTTCAGTTGCTAATTTAAGATCACCTGCAAATACTGGTGTTCGTCCTGACTGAAAAAGAAAATAAATAATAAAATCAAATTTTATATTTCATTGACTTACATCCATATTTATATATTTTTTTAACGGTTGAAATTGTTATTGTCTTTCAAATAGACCACTTACAGGACTTTCTAATTTGTCTTTTGATAATACTTAAATGGAGAAAAGTAAAAAAGAAGGATTGTGTTTCATCTGTTATCTTTTTCGAGGTCAAAAAGCAAAGTCAGATATAATAATGATATTGTTGAAACATACATAAATAATACAGAGTAAACTTTGTTGTTTTTTTTTCAAAGAACAGAGGGAGTACATAGGGCGCTCCAAGAGGTTTTTTTTCATCCAACTCTCCTAAGGGTTATAATTTTATTGCAAAATATTCTTTAATGTGTTTAAGCATATTTAGGATTATTTGTAAAATTCTAGACTTACAAGTTTCATCCTTCCTCATATTTTTGTAGTTTTCTTTGAGACTAGTTGAAGAAACGTTTTCAGATGCATTACGAATTCTAATAAGAACACTTGCAAACAACTATTTTATATCAATAGCACATTCGATTAGGTTACGAGTAAAGGCGTGTCCATTTAATATAAACATG